TCCCTTGATAGTCCCAGGGAACTTTGTTCCTAGACTGCAAAGTCAATCACCCCCCTCCTTACTACAAAACATCTACCTTTACATTTCCAACCCTCACAATCAGTCCTGATAACACTTATTCACAAGAGACCCATTTTCATTTTATTTCATCAGCCCCGCCTAGACAGATTGCATACTACTCAGTGGAGATTCTACCTTCCTCTACGCCCTCTGGATCTAGGTTTCCTTTTGAAAGCTTGTAAGCCAGTCACTTCTTGCCTTTGTAGCCACCCCCCCTCCATTTTGGGTAGCCAATGTCTAAGTTGCCCATCCCTGTCTACTCTGTGTGTGGAGGGGGTGGGAACGATGGATGCTTTTTATGCAATGGTAAAGAACTTGTCTGAATTCAGTTAAAATGTTTGGTGGAAGGTAGAACTTGTAAGTGATAAACTGGCATCTCTGATTGACGAGATTTCTAAGCAAGATCTTAGAGGAGCACGCAATTCTTCTGGCTGCTTATAGAAAAATGCAAGAGGACAGTGATGGACTTAAAAATGAACTGCACGGAATGAAAACAGAACTTAAGAGTTGGACAATTCTGTTGTAGAATTTCCCACCAAGGAAGTGGCTGCCCAATCTTTTGATAAAAAGGTTAAGAGCATGACTACCAACTAACAGAGCAGAAAATCCATCAGCTTAGACTGAAGTGGGCAGGGGAAGAACTGAAGAAGAGAACGCTGTCTGCCTCTTGGAATTCTACAGGCAGGAACTATGTCAAAGGGGTTACATCTGTTGTCTTCCAAGCGATGATGAAAAGGAACACCTCTGCAGCACTTCAGAGATCAGAACTGTTGGAAGAGTGCAGGAGGCAAGGCTGTCTCCAGCTCAAAGGGCAGAATCACAACATGCTGAGCTTCAAAGGGTGGGGCCCTGGCTTCTTGGCTTAACAGGATCACAGCTTCACCAGCTCAGTTCTCACAGATGGGAGGGACCACTGCTCATAGCCGAGGGGCAGGGTTTCCATGGCCAAAGGGCAGAAGAAGAGGGCCTGCTGAAACTGAAGGGGTGAGACTGTCACTCAGCTGGATTAGGAGAATGGGAAGTCCCCAAAGCCAAGGGCACACAGGTGTTATCCAGTGCGTCTGGAAGGTACAGCTGAAGCCCAGGGTCAGGCGTCTCTACCAGCATCCGGAGTTTGGTGAGCAGAGTCATTGCCCACATGGTCCCAAGCTTGGATAGCTAATGTAACATGTTCTGCTGGGTTTGGGACTTGCTTGGGGCTTGCTCTCCCTTCCAGTTTCTCTCATCTGTACTGGGAACATCTACCGTGAACCTGCCCCATCATTTTGGAAACAGATAACGTGGCTCTAGATTTCACAGATTCTTAGATAAAAAGGAATGTTGCTTCAGGATGGAGTACAGCTAAACCCTTAGCCGTACTAGATTTAGAAGATTCGGAAGATGAGATGCTGGCGTTTGAATTGATTTAAGACTTTGGGGGATGATGTCATAGGGCGTTTTGTATGTGTTAAGGGCATGAAATGTTTGTGGGGGGCCACATGATGGAGTGTATGGATTGCACTGTGTCTCCCAAACATATGTGCTGTCAACTCTAACCTTTCTGTCTGTGGTTGTCGTCCCATTTAGAAAAGGGCTGTGTGTCTTCGTCACGTGGATGAGGCAGGGTTAGTTGTAGGTAGTACTTGAATCTATCATTACTGAGAAATAAAAAGTTTAAATAAGCAAGTGGGGTGGAGTGGGGGATAGATGCTAAGACACGTGAAGAAGCCCTAAGAGCCAGACAGCAGGAAATGAAGAGAGAAGGAGTGTCCCCCAGAACAGAGAGAGAAAGGTTTCCCTGAGCTAGCGCCGTGAATTCAGACTTGTGGCCTCCCATGGGAACCCGATGGAGGGTCACTATGCGTCAGAACTGACTCCACAACAACCATAAACTGTGAGAAAATAAGCTTCTGTTTGCTAAAGCCATCCACTTGTGGTATTTCTGCTGTAGCTGGGGAATCCTGTCATAATACAATAAGCACTGGGCTGGCAATCAAGGTTGATGGTTCAAGCCCACCAGCTTCTCTGTAGAGGAAAGAGGAGGCTTTCTGCTCCCACACATATTTACAGGCTTGGAAATCCCACACACAGTCACAATGAGTCTGAACCATGTTGATGTCACTTAACAACAAATCACTAAGAGACACACACACACGCAAACTTACACATAAGCACGTATCCACACACAGGCACCCTCATGTTCTCACACATTGTATGCACACTCATGCTCACGTGCACAGGCATGAACACATACCAACAGTGCCCACATGTACCTTCATACACTCACCCCTCCACATAATCCCTTGTCTGGGCACAGACATGCACAATCACAGGAAGTTCTGACAATGGCTCACATCTCCCCGTCCACAGCCCTTTCTGAGGTGTGTGTGCGCCTCACTAAGCTCACCATGCAATAGTTATGCTGTGAATTTTATGGTCTGCAGCATGACATGGAACGGAATGTGCCACACTGCTGTTCCCAAGTGGACTCACGAGGCTAAACCAACATTGGAAGACACTGAGATTTAATAGTCAGTGTAACGCTCTTTGGTTTGAATGATGACGTGCGCCCACTCTGTGTCCTGCAGGGTGTAGAGGGCTGGAGGGAGGCTCAAAGATACCCCCCTCACCCCATGGGGGTACCCGGGGTCAGCAGTGCAGTCCCATGGACGCCCCAACCCACTCTGGGCCCTGGTGCAGGGCAGGGGCTGTGCATCATCCGGCCCCTCCACTGTTGAAAGCAAGAGTTAGCGTGGGGCCATGAACCAGCCTCATACTGAACAATGTAGACACTGTATTTCGTCTGAGCCGGCTCTGTGACTACGGCACACAGCTACGGAAGCAGGTGTGCAGAGACGGATGAGAACTGAGCTTCAGTCTTTAAGGACACATGGGATTCTCGGGGTGTATGGTACATGGCGATGAGGGTACAGACAGCGTTCAGGTTTACAAAAACACAGGGCAGTGGGTACCTCACACAAGACCCCTGGGCAAGTGACTCCCACCTTGCCAGTGAGCAGGACACTAGTCACTGAGTTCTCCCGAGGCGTGTGTGGGTGACCTGCACATGTGGATGAACTCAGGGTTCTTAGGGTTGGGGAAACAAACCACTTCTGAGTTTGAACACGTGAGAGTGTGTGTGCAAGGGTGTGAGAAATGGGTGAGGGTGAGCAGGCACAAGCATTTGTGAATGTGCATGTGCACATGCATGTGTGTAATGAAATGTGTCTGTGTGCATGCATCAGTGTGTGAGTGTGTATATATGCATGCGTGTGTAAGCGTGAATGTATATGTGTGAGTGTGTAAATGTGAAGGTGTATATAGGTATGCATGAGTGTGTAAGCATGGATGTGTGCATGTGTGAGTGTGTAAGCGTGAAGGCATATATACACACATGTGTGTGAATATATGCATGCATGAGTAAGCATGAATGTGTATGTGCACATGTGTGAGTGTGTAAATGTGAAGGTGTTTATATGGATGCGTGTGTGAATGCGTATATATGCATATATTACTGTGTAAGTGTGAATGTGTTTGTGTGCATGTGTGAGTGTGAATGTGTATATATGCATGCATGCATGCATGAATGCATATGTATGCACATGTGAGTGTGTAAGCGTGACTGTCTGGGCATGTGTGAATGTGACTGTGTATATATGCATGCATGTGTGGATGTGTATATATGCATATGTGACTGTGTAAGTGTGAATGCATATGTGTGCATATGTGAGTGTATATGCGTGAATATGTATGTGTGTATAAGTGTGAATGTATACATATGCATGCGTGAGTGTACATATATGAGTGTATGTGCATGTAGGTGAGAGTGTATGTGTGCAAGTGTGAACATGTATGAATGTTCATGTGAAATGCAGGTGTCTGAGTGTGTATGTGTGCATGTTTATGACTGTGTGTGCATGTGTGTGAATCAGTGTGTGCCTGTGTGAATGGGTATGAATGTATGTGCATGTGCAAATGCGTGTGTCTGAGTATGTATGCGTGCATGTGTGAATGTGTATATGTGCGTGTATGCATGAGTGTGCACATATGCAAGACAAAATTGTTATATGCATTAGAATATAATGGTGTGTGTGCGGGTGAGTGTGTGTGTGCTTGATGCAGGGATGTAGGTGCAGGGGATCCTGCAGGGGACCTGGGTACTCTGCTTGTGTAATGGACTCATGATCATGAGCAAGGTTTCCACACGGTTTGAGGCAAGGTTTCCACACGGTTCATGGAAAAGCAACACAGGATCATGGTTTTGTATGGGACAACTCCCAGCCCACCCACCTGCCCGCCCTCTTGCTTTTTGGAACAGACAACTTTATTGTCCCCAACGTCTATGTTGGGATGGAATCCAGGTGTGTCTAGGTGCTACTAAATGGAGTTTGGGCATTTCCAAGGCAGCGGCCCCTCCTGTACCCAAGACAGTGATCTGAGAAACTCCTTGCGCTGGGGGGAGATGGGGAGGAGAGAGATGGGAGAGGTCTGGGAGTGCAGTTAGGGTGCTAGGTACCCAGCGAAGATGCAGTTTTAAACAGGGGGACAGACAAGGCCGCCTGGGAGCCCCGGCCGCCCGTGTCACTTCAGAACAGATCTTAGAGAAGAGACAGCCTATGACGCCTCTGCGCGCACACAACGAACCGTAGGCTCAGTCGGTGAGGACCCACCGAGGGCTGCGCACTCGCGTCTCAGCCCAGAATCACGAGGACTTCCGGCTCTCAGGACTGGACGCTGAGGAGTGGTACTGAACAGTCAGGGCATGGCTGTGGACTGAGGGCTCGGCGGGGCCTTGGGGAGGGCTCCCGAGTGCTGTCCTCCGGTCTTTGGCAGCAAAACACCTCGGAAAGTCGCTCTGGACGCCCCATCCAACCCCAGGGCAGAGACCAGCTTCCTGGAGCTCTTCAGGGGTACAGGTGTGAGGGGGCGGGGCGCGGGGCGGTGAGTGAGAGCCCCTCGCCCTACACGGTGGTCTCGTTCCTCCAGGGCCCCGTGCGGATGTTGCCCGTGCTGTCGGCTCCATAGGGCAGACCCTCGAGCACGGCTCCTTTGAGCGCCCCGTTTTGCCCGGAACCCCCAAAGGGCAAGGACGGTGTCCTGCGGAGCATCTCGAAGTGGGCGGGGCCGGGCCGCTGAGCGCAGCCGAACAGGACGCTGCCCTCCGGTTGGCCAGCCACCCGGAAGGGGTCCCCTTGCGCACAGCAGGCCAGCGTGTGCGCGCCCGCCGGACCTTCCAGCGAGCTGGGGGGGCTGTCCGTGCGCGAGCTGTGGGGGCTGCCGTCCAGGCTGGACGGGATGTGGTAGGCGTACTCTGGCTCAGCTTCCCGCGGCCGGCCGAAGAAGGGCGGCTTAGTCCTGCCTTGGAGGCATCGGTGCGGGTGCGGGCCACGCCCAAAGGCGTCCTCGACGCCACACCCGAAGGCGTCCTCGGCGCCGCGTCCCAGCGCCTCCTCCTCCATCAACTGCTCACAGTGCATCTTGGCGCAGCAGGGCGTGACCGGCGACAGGCAGTGGGCGTGGCCCTGGGCGGCCTGCAGGTTGGTCATTTTGCAGCGGCCGGAGGGCGGGTGGCTACAGCCCGCAGGCCCCAGGTGCGGCGAGTCCGGCAGGCAGTCCCCATTGGCGCCTGGCTGCGTGGCACCGGCGCGCCTGCGGGAGGAACAACAGGCCCACCAGCAATGCCACACGTCCTCGCGCTTGGCGCAATGGTGGATGAGCACGAAGAGCCCCAGCGTCACGCAGAAGGCCCCATAGAGGCAGCTGAAGACCATGTCTAGGAAGTGACCCTGCGACACGGCCAGCGCTCCGAAGGCCCAGGTGGCGGCGAAGAGGAAGAGTGTGAAGGCGGTAGCGCGAAGCTGTGCCTGGAAGGAGTGCTCGTTCCGTAGCAGCGAGGCAGCTGGGCCGTCACAGCTAGGCTCCGCCCCGGGCCCTGCCCGGTGGCTGCGACCCATGTCCGGAGCCGCCAGCCGCTGCTGCTCCTCCGTCCGCTCTCTCAGCTCGTACCTGCACTCAGGATGTCGGCGCAGCTGGACGTAGGTGCAGAGGAAGTAGGCGCAGGTGACCAGGGTGATGAAGGCGGCTGGCCCATAGAAGGCGCCCAGGCTGGGCTCCCAGGCCATCCAGCAGCTGTGGGGAGGGAAGTGGTTAGGTCTTGGCAAGGCCAGCAGGAAGAGGCCTGAAGTGGCCTGCCTGGGGCCAGCTTCCCTCGTGGGTTCCTGGCCTAAGGCAGGTTCTCTGTCCCTCCTCTGCAGAGCCATGCCCGAATCTCAGTCGATGGCGGAGGGGGCGGGAATTGAGGTGTGTGTGTGGGGGGTGTGATCAATGGCTGGAGGGACTGAAGGGTTAGTTGGCGCTGAGCTCTGCCTTAGCCGTCAAAACAGGGAAGGTCCTGTTCCAGGGACAAGTGGGTGGGAGGCACGAGGGGCTACAGTGTTGAGGGGCTTCGGAGGTGGGTGGGGTGGACAGAGGGATAGGAAGGGGATACCCACGTGTGGGAACACTGGTGTCAGGTAGGAAGTGGAGGAGCTTTGGTGAGCTGACCCTGACACCTTTACTGCCAAGATACTCACTACGCCGCGTCCGCGTCTTCGGCGCCGTAGTTCCTGATGTTGGTGGCAGCAGTGACCCCACAGATGATGAAAGGCACCCCGCCACTAATGAGGTAAAACCTGCCGGAGGAGTAGAGGCACAGTTAGCCCTGAACATGCGCCCGCCCCTCTGGTGAGCACAGCGAGTCTGTGGCAGTCCTTGTCCACAGAAACAAACACATCCGCAGTCTCCCCTGTCCAGTCTGGGTCCAGAGCCTCTGCCACGCTCTGGCTACCCCTCTCTGCTGAATCCTCTGAGGATCTTGATGGGGCCACAGCATGGGAGGGTGGAGCTGTGTGCTCCCCACGTTGGGTGGACAGCAATGGTAGTGGACGCTAGCGTGCACTGCCCAGGCCCCTGTCAGAGCGGGCCTACTGCTTGGTCTTTTGCTGGGCCTTAGGGCTGATGGTCTCGGCTGAACTGTTCTCTGGGAACTGGCCTTTTCAGGATCTGAGGCCTCACCCCTTCCAGTGGACAGTGGCGTCCGAGGCTGTAAACCCGTGTTGTTGTTGTTATGTGCCGTGGAGTTGGTTCTGACTCATAGTGACCCTGTACACGGTTCTTTACAGGAGCAGAAAGCCTCATCTTTTTCCTATGGAGCAGCTGGTAGTTTCGAACAGTTGATCTGCCTTTAGCAGCTCAGTGCACAACCCACAGTGCCACCAGGGACCCATGATCATAAACCTTAGAAGGCGAAAGTTTAGAGACGTTGAGAGAAAACGTGCTTCCAGGGGTAAAGGACCATTTCATAAAGATATCGGTGTCAATTCATGAGGAAAACATACATGCTTGTCCAATAAAAGAAGTGAAACGTGTGGGACAGAAATCAACCAAGTCAGGGGAGAAGGTGACAGCAAGAACCTCAGGGGTGACTATGTAACTCCACTGTCAGCGGTAGGTAGAACAGTCAGACACAGGACAATATCTGGGGAGCCCCTGCAATACAGCAGCCACTTTCTTCACAACACTTTCTTCCCAAGTGTATCGTGTGTGTGTGTGTGTGTGTGTGTGTGTTCACCATGGAAGACCAGATGGTCCGTAAAACAAGTCTCAACACATTTAAAAAGGTTTGTTGTCTCTGACTACAGTGAACTTAAAGTAGAAATGAATCAACTCCTGAGGCAAGAGTAAAACTCTTGAGTAAAATTCCTGAGTAAGCAGACTCACTGAGCACCAAAGACAGGTGAGACCAAGTAAGGTGGATGCTTCAGAGGATAGGACCAAGAGGTGGACTGAGTGTTGCCTGGAAGCTGAAGCTAAACAGGAACAT